ATCCCCACACCTCACCGGGCTGTGGGTTAATCATCCCTCCCTCAATCTTATCATGGAATAGAGGTGATCATTGCAGGAAAATTAATTTTTAGCGGCGTTTCAAAAACGCCGCTATAAGCCAAGAAAATGCCGTCATAAGTTATAGCGACATCTAATATTTTCGTCGCTAATACGACCACCGTAATAACTACAACATTTTTAAAACGCCGCTAAAAACATTAGACGGCGTTTTAAAAAATGCCACAAAAAACTTTAACGCCACTGCCATTTCCGTCCCAAAATAACGTATGACATCATGATGACGTCATTTAGTGGCGTTTTTTTGAAAAACGCCGCTCTTTTTTTTTCCTTATTTTGAAATACAGCATCATAACACAGCCAAAAAAATTTAACTAAAATATAGCATAACACAGAGCTAAAGAATTTAATTAAAATATAGCATAACACACAGCTAAAGAATTTAACTAAGAAGAAAACTTGAGAATTTAACATGTATACAAGAGCAATAGTATGTACAATCTGTGATTTGGCAAAAACAATCACTAAAAATTCAATCTCAAACTACACTTTGCTCTCACCAAAAATTATAAGAACAAAGAAATCAAAGAAAATAACAAGGTATGAGACTATTGGAACAGTTCTTCAACTCTTTCTGTAGTACGCTCATACCACAATGACATCCTATTGCAATTTCATCCAATCTGGACGGGCATACTTAGGATTCAAGCCCAACAACTTGCAGTCTTCATCACTTATACGCTTCAGGACATTTAAAACCTGTAAAAATGTCATATAATGCTCGCTTTGTAAGTCTTGATCAGCTAGAAATTGACAAGAACAAAACATACACGCACAGAATTTGGGACAGAAAATGCATTCTGTTAGTTACCCAAGCAACACACTTCTTCCCCCAGCACCTTACCACAAAGTAGGCTAAGAGAAATATTTTACCAGTCAGCGGTTATGATTCTTTTATTCAGTTGCATGAAGATCCTCCTTACAGAATGCTCCACTTCATAGATAATATATAATACCAACTGTCATGGACATAAGAAGAAGAATAAGAAGAAAAAGGTGCTGATAGAGGTCTAAGCGCATTCTTGTGACTATTAAGGAAGGGAGGCTGCAACAGATTCAAATAACCAGAAAGCATCTGATCCTTTCAAGTGGGCTCAATGTTTCATAAATCAAAACAAATTGGCTCACAGGAAGTTAACAAATTGACATCAATAAAATTTTAGCTGTCGTCTTTTGGCAATTAAGATTTGATAAAATAAAAAATAATAATAATAATATTAATACAAATTAGCTATCCATTTTTGATTGGGCATTATTACTTCGTAACAAACAGCATTAATCTGGGATTACAATTATGATTGGAGTTGGATTCCATACCATACCCTTTACTTCTTTCCTATTCTTCTCCGAGTAAATACAAGAGCTTCACAGACAATACCCCTTATTATTAACAGAGTACAATCATAGAACTAACTATAGGATCTAGAAGAACTTACATAGAAAGGAATATAAGTTTGTCTGCCATTAACAAGCCCACTTGTGTAGCCTGTGTACCCGGCCATAGATCCATTAACAGCACTCTGAGCAATGAGTGTACAATACACATTGTCAGCTGCATTGCTTCGAATAGCCCGGATCATGTATGTAGGATCTGTCAGAAAAATTGATCAAGTCCAAATCTTGTTATTTCCCTTCGCAGCACTCTGTTTGATACTCATGGGAATCCTATACCGGTGTTGATGTGAAAGAATCAGACAATTTTTTTCACTATGTTATAATACAATGGGGAAGGGACAACAATGAACAATAACCTTTACTTTTTATATAGTTAAAATAAAAAAAAAATAAAAAAGGAAAGTAGAAATCACAAGACATATTTTGCAGCATGTTAGAAAAAAATAATGCCAAGTCAACTGTAGGTGTAGTTGAAGCGAGGTAATTTTGTTGGACGAACCGCAAAGGCATTAAATCCTCACAAGCAATTATGGGGTTATGGCTACACTGGCAATATCAATGCATGCTTTGGAAGCTGTAATGTGGTTTCAACTAGCGTTATGGTAGATAGATACTGTAAGTTGGTGAGGAAAATCATGTGGACACGGGTAATAGAGTACCGTGGAATAAGGGGAGGTGATGGAAGTAAACCATTGATAACAATGATAGAAGCACACACAGTGTAAAGGTGGAGGTGGAAGTGGCAGAAGTTGCAAATGTTCATGAACATTTTGGTTCCAGAAGTTGAGATGTCTGATTGGGATCTTACCATCCACTATCACACCTTTGAAGTGGAATCCTTTTATTTAGCTGAGAAAAAGGACAAATTTTGGTCCCATATCACATTCATACCCCATTTATTCCCACTCACCCCACCTCATAGGATACACCATATGAAGGGGGGAAAAAAAAAAGAAAAAAGGCCAATTTCACCGCCATCATGAATGATCGAAATATCAAATTTGAGGACCATAATTTCAATAGTTGGAAGATGGTCCTACTGAAAACATACATGATCGGTATTCAAACCAGTGTCAGAACTCTCATACACCCCAGCTTAAACCGAAGGCTAGTAAAGGTGCTAACGCACTAAAAGATGTTTAAAAAAAATGCTACACAGCATGTTTCCTCAATAACTGCCTGAAAATTTATGAAAATGGAAAATAAAGAATAAAGATATATCAAAACCTTACAACATCATCCGCAGAACTTATGTTCTTAATAACAGCAGCTAACAAGCTCTCACGATAGTTGAAGTGGGGAACTGAATCTAGCAAAGTACAGATACAACGAATAGCCACACGCTCAAAATGAGGCCTGCTGTCCTAAGGCTATCAACCTCTGCAAGTATCCCTGCACATGTACATACGGAAAAAACTTCAAAACAAGGAAGCAAATACCATAGCTAGAGTTCAAAGCTTAAATTAACATCAACACTCCATTTCCATTAGCCATTCACAAAGTGCCAAGCCGAACCTTGTTTGTAGATAGGAGGGTGGATTCATAGTACCGCATTTTCTTAACAACCTTTGAAACAACCATTTCCTGCTCCTTCTCAGTGGGCAGCCTAATTCGATAGCTGTAACACACATTCAAAAGATAGCAAAAGACTTGAATGGTAATGAAAATAGAAAAAAAATTAAAAAAAAAATTAAAAAATAATAATAATAAGTTCATAGAACACTGCACACAGAGCACTATGGAAGGAAACTAAAATGTTTTACCCAGGTATAATGTCTTTGAAAACAGCCAATAAAGACTTTAGCCCAAGGACTGCTATAGCATGATCTCCATATTTAGAGATTTGCAGCATTTCTTTAAAGGCAATTATCAACAAAGCATGAGATTTAAAGACTTTAAAAAATTTATTTAGAATTTTACTCAAAAAATGTTCCGTTCAAGTATGTTAATATTAACTCGGTAGAGTACAGATTGTATATGTATATTAAGCAGAGCAGAGTTTGTGAAAATGACAATTGGAACTAGGAGGAATATACTACTTCAAAGCAAAGACACAACAGTGGTCAAACCAACCATTCAACTCTTATCAGTCACATCAAAAACCTACCCTGCTCGCTAAATCTCAGTCGATCTCCGCAATATCCATTATTACTATTTGTGTCCCCTGCTGATCAATTACAGAGACAGAGGTGATTTCTATGAAGTTTCTCTCAAACTCCTTAGACTCACAGTTTGTCTCGACTACAATTATTAAGTTCAACTTGTAATCAGTTCAATTGAATTCAAAATCTCATAACTTGAGTCAGCTTGACTCGAGTAAATTTGATAAGATTTTAAACCAAATTTGAAATGCCACTATTTGATTCAAATTTAACTCAGCTCATTTATTGTTGTAACAATTACCATGTGTGCATCATGGAGGAACACAAATTTATTCAACAACTCTTTCAATCACAAATTTTAATGATGAAATAATTTTGAGTTAGGCTTCTGTCCATTCCAAGAATGGACCGGAGATCAAACTCAATATTGAGTTTGTAAGTGAACAAAATTTAAACTTCTAAAGTATAGCGGACATAGCACAATTTGAGAGTTCAGACTAAACTCTCTAGTCCATACCCGGACATTTGTCGCCCAAGCCACCTTAGAGCAATAGGTTTCAATGTGATCACGGTTCGTCCATCCATAGCTAGAGTTTTCAGGTAATTGGATTGGGAGTGTCCACCCCTACGCTAGAAGGACAAAAAAATAAAAAGTTTCTATACTTGCATGATCCACTTGCTGATCAAGAAGTGAACTGTTGAATCTCCCTACATAATCAGAATAATTTTAGTTCCTAGTTGTGGACCAGTGAGTAGGTCAATGGTAAAATCAACACGTCATGAGCGCTGAAACCATGAAGAGTACATTTCACAAGTAACTGACAAATTCTTAATCACTTTACACCGTCCAAACTAAACCCCCCATCCCCCACAAAAACAAAAAAGAAACATGACAAAAAAAATTGCCAAAATTTATGGAAATGAAACATATTGTTGCGGAGTCAATATGGGTACACTGCACAAGTTTCCTATGCTTTTGAGGTCAACTAAACAACACAAAAACAACACTTCGTTTATGCCTTCGTTTACAAACATCTCAACCTTGTACTACACTGTCTCAAATTACATACCGGCATGTCTACGATAATCAAAGGGCTACAAAAATATACATCCTCCGTCCCAAAATAATAGTCTCTTTTGGGAAATCTAACTTTTTTTGATAGTATAGTTATTGCACTTTAAAAAAATTGATTTTTCAAAATTATCATTTGATAGTATATTTTTTTGAGAAATATCAATTGTCATAATTGTACTTTTTATGTTATTAATGAATTTAAAAGAAGGGTAAAATAGGAAATTCGTATTACTTTTGTTCTTAATTTTTGAAAGGGGACTAATATTTTGGGATAATGAAAAATGGAATAAGGGACTAATATTTTGGGACGGAGGGAGTACTAAATTTCATAGCATACTGAATAATTCCAAACCAATTCCCAAAATGAGGTTCTACAGTAGCATCTGATCGATGTCTGAAAAGGGTCCAACGGGCAATCCTCCAATCACATTCTAAATTCTATGCCTTTGCTTAACAAGTGCTCTTTTTTATAATATGTAATTACCAATTACATATAGCAGGATCAAGGAATAAAATACCGAATAAAAGGATATATCACAACTTAAAAAATATGAATATAGATAAATTGGAGAAATTTATATAAATATTGAAACCTATCAATGTATCAAGGTCTTGAAAATAAGGATGCATCGCCAATATTGATGATATTTATAATAACAGTTTAGGATTTATTACTGTACCTCCTTCCGATTGAAAATGCCAACAGCAAGAGCAGCAGATGCATTTGTTTTAGTGAAAACCTCCGAGAAGTGTTCAAACTGCTCCTGCACCACTACTAGCGATCACAGGGATGTTCACAGCATCTGAGATCAGCTTTATAAGATCTTTATGGAATCCTTTCCCTTGATCTGAAAGGAATCAATTAAGCAATAACCTTAGAAATGAAAAACTAGTTTGTCAATGAAAATAATACAATTCAACTGATGGAACTAAAAAAAAATGACATCCTCAGGACATGAAGAGATGAGTCCAATGGTACTGGAAAATAACCCATCAATGATTCTATCGGTGGATCCAAAAGATGGCTTCATAAGATAATGAACTTCAAATAAAACCATGCTTTCAAAGGCAATTATCAACAAAGCATGAGATTTAAAGACTTTAAAATGCCGTTAGATCCTTCAAGTTCAAAAATAGAACGAAATCTGGAAAAGGAAAGTAAATGACAATAATTCAAGCATATCAACACTAACACAATGACTTTATAGGAAAGTAAACTTAAGAATGAGTTGATCCTAATAAAACCTCTAGAGCTCTGTACGAAAGAGTAACAATCTGTGGAACAAAAAAAATAACAGATGCAACAAACAGAAAAATTAAAGAGCATAAATGCATAGGGAATGAAACTGAGATTCATCCACCGGACAATTGACATGTACAAATTGATAAATCAGATTTTATAATTATCCAATCCTGCTGCTCAACAAAAATAAAATAAAAAAATAAACAAAACAATGAAGAAAAAATTAGCCATTGTGGCATTTTATCAAACACCTAGTAGACCCATAATCAGAAGCATGAGACTTTACTGTGTGTAGAATCACCAATAATTCATTCACTTCAATGATTATATTGGGTAGAATATAAATATCATAATTAGAATACATAACATGCTAATCATTCTATTTTCTATATTTTTTCCCCAAATTAAAATCATTCAAGTTGTTCATAGAACCCTTTAAAGTAGAGAAGTTTTGGAGATGCTAGAAGTAACGAATGGAATGACTTTAATCTCAACTTAACAATGAATTCCATTTACGCAAGCATGTCCGAAGACAGAGTGAGGGTAGAGAATGAGAAACCTAGAGACCTGAACAGAGAGAGGGGTAGAGAAAGAGAGAGAGAGAGACAACAAACTGACCTGGAACTCACGGTGGTGCTGTAGCTTGATGTCGGTGCAGGATGAACTCACGGTGTGGAGGACGAACCATCCTGATGATGGAGGATGAACTCACGGTGGTGGATGAACCGTCCTCACGGTGGAGTATGAACTCACGATGGTTCTCTGTTACAGCTTTGTGAAGGAACTATAGATAGATTAGGGCACAAAGTTCTAATCAAGGAGATGAAAAGTTTTTTTGGGACTGAAATTTTGATATTATTCAATTTAGGCGCTAAATCAAAAAAATTTTGGCGCTGTAATTTTAGGTGCAGGTAAAGACATAGAAAAATATGAAAAAAAATAAAAATAAATCATAATTGGGTAGTAATGTGAAAGTATTCTCACAAAAAAAATAAATTTAGGTATTTTATGAAATTTTGTAGTTACCAAATTTGCAATTTGTTGTAGTGAGAGAGAGAGAGATATAAAAGGAAAATTGATAAACACGTACACACAAAAAAAAAAAAGGAAAAAATTAATAGTCTATTTTTTTTCATTACAATCCAATTTGTCAAAATTTTCCATCCAAAATTAGTGACAAAATAATTTCTTCACTAAAAGGTCTCAAAATATTAAAAATTATTAGTAACGGAAATATATTTCTCACCAAATAATCTTAAAATATTTAAAATCAAGTTTTTTTTAAAAAAAAATGTAAAATTAATGATGACGAAAATATATTCCTCACTAATAATTTTATAATTAATGACAAATTTTTTTCTCACCAAAAATTTTAAAATTTCGACGCCACTCGGAGCTTGGAAAAGTGAGAAGAGGGAAGAGGGAGCTCAGAAAAGCGAGAAGAGGGCAGGAGAGAGAGAGTGAGGCGAAAACAGACCGCGAGAGAGAGAGAGAGAGCGCCAGCTGGTGACGTGCGGGTTGACCGATGCGATAAAGATGAACGGACGGTGTGAAGGAGATATATGAGTGAGGGAGTGACAGAGAGAGATATCTATGGTTCAATTTTATTTTTTTATTGATTTTAAGCATTTGGAGACGAAATTTGGTTTTCCTCTCTAAAAATAATACATTTGGAGATGAAATTATTTCCTCTCTAAAATTTTTTACAATGGTGACGAAAAATTTCGTCTCCAAAATGGCACCTAATCTTCCGTCAAATTCTCCAAGGGCGGGAAATTGTTTTGTGACGAAAAATAAAATTTAGAGACGAATAAAATTTTTGTCACCTATTGTTTTGTTTGATTTTAAGCATTTGGTGACGAAATTTGATTTTCGTCTCTAAAAATAATACAATTGGAGACAAAATCTTATTTTCATCACTAAAACATGCATATTTGGAGACGAAATATTTTTTCGTCACGCGTTTTCGTCACCATAGACCTTTTTTGTTGTAGTGGAACGACCTCGAACTAGGGCTAAGACTCCCTTCAACCCCCATCGTCAATCTGTTAACACTAATCGAAGGAACCTCCTCAGAGGATATTTTCGATTCCCCTTGCTCTAAGCTCAAACCCCGATTCAGTTTGCCCCAAACCAAATAACGCTGGTGATTTCGAATCCCTAACTACATCCTTAGCCCTAGACGAAACCCCTTTGGTAAACTGTGGAGACTCCATCGGCATCAATGAGCTATTGAAACCGTAGAATTTTAGGAATTCCAGAGAATGGAAGAGCTTCTCTCACTAACCCATGCCACTAATGGCGTTCTTTGTTTTTCCTTTATGATTAGAACCATTGGCTATAGATTGATCTTGAGAGTCAGGGCTTTGATTTTTTTTATTTGTTGATCTTAGGAGCAAGGGCTTTCAATTCCACCGCCACGTTTCAAATTTCCCTCCCAAACTTTTGGCGACCAAAGACCATATTAGTCGCAGAAAATGTACCTTCGCCGACAAACTTTTTTGGTCGCTAAATCTCAATCAACGGCAACTAAAATATTAGTCGCTAAATGTGAAATATTTGGCGACTATTTTTTTTAGTTGCTGAAAATAAGTTTTTGGCAACCAAATTTTTGGTCGCCAAAAAATATGTGACATTCCGCAACCAAATTTGTAGTTGGTCGGCAAAAGCATACCACTTTCTGCGACCAACTCATTTTTTAGTCGCCAAAATATAACCTTCTGCGACCAATAATATTTGGTCGCCAAAATTAATGATCATTCGCGACTAATTAATATTTGGTCGGCAAACGTCATTTTTTTGCGACCAAAATTTTTTTGGTCGGCAAAAGTGGTCGCAAAATGTGTAAATTCTTGTAGTGATTGTGTAGAATTGTTTCGATTAAGAATTTTCCATCATCTTCTGCCCATATCTTTGGCCATTCATTTTTTGCTGCAATTTGTAATCCACGACATAGGGGGTGTTTGGTGGAGCTTTTTTGAGCCAACTTATGGCTTCTGGCTTTTAAAAAGTTATTTTGGACTGTTTGATAAAACTTATTTCAAACAGCTTCTGATTCTAACAACTTATTTTAAGTCAAAAAAGCTAATTCTGAAAAGCTGCTTACCCCTTGCTTCTGATTATCAGCTTCTGCTGTGTACATGTTAATTCAAGGTTATACTCTTAGATTTTTTTATTTTTTATTTTTTTTTTAAATAGAAAAAGACCCAAATAGACTATAAAATATTATTATTATTATTTTTTTATGAGAAATGTAGACAAATAGTGAATAATAAAAAATAAAAGTTAATTGAAAAAGTTACTTCACAGCTTATTTAACAAATACTACTTGGCAACTTAAATCTATAATCCAACAGTTATACCAAACAGATTAACAGCTTCTGATTAAAGTTATAATCTATAATCTGTTAAGTTATAATCTATAATCTGTTTTAACAGCTACACCAAACAGGACCATAAAGCTGATGCTTCAGCATATTCTGCAGATTTCATTGGTATTGTATCTCCAAAAGTATAAACGCAAATTCCTTCGTGGTTTTGAAATATTCCCACACGAATGGCATCTACTTGTTTTGGAACTTCTTTGTTTGGATAGATTCCACCATCAAAATTTAATTTGAGCCATCCTTCTTTTGGTGGTTGCCAATAGACAAGCTGTTGTTGGTCAGTGAAGTCGGTTGATGATGTGGTGGATTTTTGGTGCGACCACTAAATTTGTGGTAGTAATTGGTCATTAGTATTTTCCAATGTAGAGATAGTGATGTTGGGAGAGGTGTAATAGGCCTCGGGATTGTAATAATAGCATGGGTTTGAGTATGACGTTGTAGGTATGTTTGAGTAATAGTTATAATTGGTTGGAGATATATAAGTGGTTGGTTGGGTATGTAGGAGACATGTGTTGGAGTAATATGTGTATTGATTTTCAGCTTGTAAGATGTAGTGATGATTGTCATATTGGGTATTGTTGTAGTGTGATAATGAATTATACATTGTATTCATGTTGAAGGGTGTGTAGTTAGTGTTATCCATGTTGGAGATTTTGTGATGAAGTGTGATATGCGGAATTAGGTCAACTGTGAAAGAACGACGAAAGTGTTAGTTAAATTATAGAGGATGTCACAGAAGACAATTTGTTGAAAGCTAAGAATGTGACTGACCTTAGATGGTGTCAGAAGTTTGTTTAGCAATGAATGTGTGACATTTTAGTCTCTATACAAAAGGGGGAAAAATCTTTAGTAAGGAAATTAACAAAAGAAATAGATGAAGGGTAATTTATGGTTAAGCAATTCAAACATTATCCGTTTGACTTCATAGAGTAAATGTATTAAAAAAAAATAGAGAGTTAAAATTTAATATAAGAACTTTTTAACAGCAACCTTAGATTAAGAATGGTTCTTCTCTATTGTAATGATAAAAACAGGAGTTAATGACTCCAAGGTTGCTCAAGACTTGCTTATGGAATTTCATGCTAAACTACAGTTCTTGATGGGCATCTTTAGTTCTTTGTCCATTGATCCAATCAAGAATATTGGGAATTTCAACTATCAACATGCCAATAGATATAAAATCACTTTTTCTAGAGAGGGAAAGATATTCGAACTGTGCTATCGTTCGAATATAAAATCACTTTACTCATTCTTTTTCAATTCCTATTGTTCTATTTTCATTTCTCTATATTCACATCACAGTATGAGTCATGTGAGTTCACATATCAAAGCACCACACACTTGGTTTGGCAAATATAAATCTATAAAATAAATTAATTGCATAACCACACAGCTCTTCAAGTATTCTACATCAGCATAAAAATAGAATTAAAGTCTACTGTGTCCCACAGAAGGACCATAAATGTTGGGTTATGCTTGAGACCATGACGGCGAGAAGGCCTGTCGCAGATTTGAACAATTCTGCGCCTGGAAAATAATTTCACATTTTGATTGTCACTTTTTGTGTGTTTATTTGTTTAACCTTATTGTGAAGTACATGGTGGATAAAAAGTTTGACATTTTGATTGTCAATTTATGTGTGTGTTTCATTTCGGCATGTGGTTGAACAAATGGTGGTCACGTTAGACAAGAGGAAGAGAATGAAAAGCAACAACAATTATAACCATTGATCAAAAAAATAGCAACAGATATACTACCAACAAGAATTAATACCAACTGCGAAATGGAATGGGAAGCAGAGGATACCTCTTTTGTTTCTTTGATATAACTGATGGTGATTTCAAGCTATCAAATTGAACAATTTACACCACTTAATAGCTGAGGACTTTAGGAACAAGCGTGGGTGCAAAGCCACTGCCTTAGCAGCTGCGGTACAGGTGGCATGAATTGATGAAGATGTTAACATAGAGGTCCAGCACAACACCGATATGAAGCACCGATGTTGGAAATTTCTAGGATAACAAATCATACCTTTTGCGAGATTATACCTGAATCTGCTACAAACATTGTACACCGCCTTCACCGCTTCACCCATTGAATCCTTGGAACTCTCAAGTACAACAGCAATACAACAACAGTATATCTGAAAACTTTTGCTGGTAAGTTGCAGGTTGTTGTCGATTTGTTTGTGTTTTTTTATAAGTTATTGTGTTGGTGAAACTAATTAATTAATTCTTTTAATTAATTATGTTTTATTATAATGTTTCATTATATTTGGATAGAGGTGGATTTATTGGGATTTTTTTTCCCTTTTTTAATTTTTTTTTTATAAGTGTTAATATTTTTAGTCTTCGATTTTTGAGAATTTAATCTTTATATTTAAGTTATTTCATGATTCTTTTTTTATTTTTACAAAAAATAAAAAATGAATGTGAATGTTAACATGTGCT